TTYCYTTKCATTTACGACTTACCAAAAAATTATGTTTGGAAAAACACTCGGCTATATGCCAAGAACCCTTCTCTAGCTCAAATTTTCAAGATTTTGGTAAAATTTTGTGAAAAAATCACTTGGCTTATAGATCAATACGGTAACAGTTGAAATACAGATGATTGGTTTTATTAAATACTAAAACAGTGGATAGCATTGAAGGTGCAGTCTGATTGGCTACTCAAACTCTGAATACTATTTGCTATTCACCCCTAAGCAATGAGCGCAGAATTTGAGCACAAAAATACTGCAATCATTGTTTCGTGCTTTATTATCTCACTGTTTTGGAATGTTACTAATTTATTCTCCTCAGTGTTGGAGGCTATGGGTGTATATTTCCCTTGTTGCTTGGTGGCTCAGTAAATATCCCTCACTTAAGCCATCTCCACTTTCAAATTGGTAAATACAGGTGTTAAATATTCCTTAGCACTTACATCACCACTCAGTGTAGTCTGTTTGGAGTTGCCTGATTTGTAAAGTAACACTCTCAACTTTGGTTTGTCAAATTTTTTACACTTTCTTGGATTGTATACTGACAAGCTGTACTCTTCTGATTCAACAAGCTTTTTTTTCTTTTCTTCCTTTGATTTTCTCTTCTTACCTAAAACAGTAAGCAACAGATTCTGAGTTCCAGGGCCTTGAACTTAACTCTTTTATTCTCCATTATTTTGGTGACCTGAGGTCATAAAAATTAGTGGTTGTCAGAAATTAAATCAAAATTGAAAAGAGCACTTCTTACCACACTGCTTGACTTCATACCTATATATATTTTGTTTCAAAATGTTGGCACAATAATTCAAAGCTTGATACTGAATCAAACTAGAGGCAAATCTTTACCAAAGAAAACACCAGAACATTCAAATTTTTCATTTCTTGTGTGAAAATGTTCATCTCAATTTACCTTTCAACCATAAACACTTGGTCTTGACAATTTAAAAGTTTCACCAGTTGCTACAAATGTTTTCAAATCTGATCTTAAACCTTGTTGACCTGGTGCATTCAAGACACTTGTACATATACATGTAATCCACAGTCACTCTATGTTCACAAACTAGACAGGCTCAGATCATTAAGATAGGTAACCATATTAAATAACTCAACACTATTCTACGTTTCTTCTTCTATTTTTCTCGTTGCTATGTTCCCACCAATAATGTAGCTCCATTCTCTGCCTTTAAAAGTACACACAACCCACAATTCCTCTATTCACTCCGACGAAGGGCTAATACTCAAAGCGTCAGCTTTTGTAATCGTTACGGTGGCCAATTTACCACTTCAACTTTGTTGATATATCCAAGTTATTTCGTTACTCCCACCGACACAGTCCTAAACAGTTTCTTTCGAAACTATCAGCCTTTACGCACTCATCAGCAGATTTGAAACTTTAACAACTGCCAGTTGGAATTCAAAGCTACTACATCTGGTCTACCAGGTTATTTACCTTTACAAGAGGTTTGTTTTATCAAGAAGACTGATTCATTGTGTGCCGAGTGAACAATCAATCCTACTAAAGGACCCTCAAATCTGTATTTCTGTTGAAAAATTGCACGATAATTCAAAAAAATTAAAACAAATGACAACAAAAATCCTGATGGTGAAATGAAAACCAAGTAATTACAAGCACACATGTACACTGTGGTTATAATGTACTATTGGTTTCCAATTTCTCTTTTAAAATCAGTTAAATTCTTATTTCCTTTATTTTCAGACAAGTAACATGACAATGAATACAAAACAAAGGTAAATCAAAATAAAACTGATCAGAAACTTTTTAGAGCCATTGAAAAGTTTGAGCAGTTACAAAATCTAATTTACCAAAATTGCCACAAACTCTATGATTAATGTTTACCTTGATAATCTGTCCATCTGTGTAATCCCAATATATAACATCTCCACTTGCTGCACAGGAAATTAACTACATGTGGAGACAAACAATGGACTGAACCCTTTACAAACTGATAGTGATAACCATCTAATTTCTCCTGAGGTCATCAGAATAGTGGTATTGATCAGGAACTCAAGGAGCTCTTGATTGTTAGACAAAATTAATTCTCCTTGTAAGTATCATAAGATATGTAGAGATAACAGTGTGGAGAACTTCAATACTGATGTTTGGGTATAAAGGCTGATTTGAAATAATTCTCAACCTCTTGAGATCTTTCATTTAATATTTTGATTAGTGTTGAATCATCTACAGCTTGTGGTGTAGTAACCAAAATAAATTCAAAGAGGAAAACAAATTCAAGCCATACACAAAACCAATAATGTTAAAGTACTGTAATCAAGTAACATGATTGTATCAGCTTATTAGATAGTTGATCGCTGACTGCAGACAAAATAAAGAAAGCAATCGAAGAATGAGTATCTCCACTAAAATATGAATACACAACACATGGTTACATAGAATTTTTTTGTTTTCTATCGTAAAGCAAAGTACATGTTGTTTATGTAATATCCTTTATGAGTCGGTTCCCAAAAAGATCATGAGTAAGAACTAAAGTAAGGTACATATTGAAAAACCAACTAAGCCTTGATGTGAAATTCATTCACTGCAAATTACACTGCACTAATACAACAGAGCTGGAGATTTTTCATTCCTCCAAAATCTAACTCGCTATTATTACGTACCTGTAAGTGATTTTTAGGGTTGATTTTAAAGTCTGTAACTTTTCCCTCGTGTCCTTGCAGTTCTCGCAATAAATATCCCGTTAATGTGCTGTACACTCGTATCTTTCGGCCGCAAGAACAAAACAAGATCCTGTGGACAACACGTAGCAAACAATCAGGACTTCCAACACCACAACTTAAATGAACTTTGCGATTAGGGACACGAAATGACGCTATTACAAACATACTTGGAGTCTCTGCTGAACACTGTTCGGTGAGATACCAAAGATTCACCCCCAACAAGGCGCACCGATCCAAAACGTTCAGGTATTTCGTCTTCCCCAAGCACCATCTTGGAAATCTACACGTGGTAGGCTCAGTACTGTCCAGCGGTTATGGCAAGTAGAGATCGATTGATGGTGTAAGAGGCTTCTAACCACAGGGTATAAGCCATTCTTTGCGAAGTTATTTATTCGTGTTACTATTGATTTTACTCTAAACGAAAAGTAATTATCGCCGGGAATTGTTCTCTGATTTTCTTTTTTTTTTTTCTTAAGAACAAACAGGAGGACCAAACTGCTCTAGGAAGTTTGAGTTGCAACCATCCGGGAGCTTACTACCGAAGCTGATCAAACAATGACCATTTTTGATTCTATATGCAAATAAAATCTATCTACGGTTCCAGTTAGCTTTATATTTTAAGTAATTTCGATCAGACGAATATAGTCAGTTACACATACTAAATTTTTTTAAGGCGTGGCACTTTTCGTCTGCCACTAGATCTTGGTACTACCTTCTCCCGTTACTAGACGAAAAAAGAATAAAACGATTGAATGTCGCCGAAAGAGTATTTTTCATAATGGTATAAAATAAAATTTCTGTACTTTTTAATACCTTCGCTAGAATAAAAGTATAACTGGAATGCAGTCATGATTATTTCATGGAAGATATGATCGTAAGGTTTCTTAGAAATTGAAAAGCTCGTGAACATGCGGTGAGTCTTGGCCATTCTTGTTTGGTGAGACTAATGGTCGCCCAATGACACGGGGTACTCCCTCCTTACATCCATTCCTGTATCGTGGTGCCCAAAACTCTCTCTTGCACGCCAAGTCTTTCAGCAGGTCTCGTTTATGTGCTGGTTATTCTGAAGCAATCATCAGTTAACTGAACCCCATTATACAGTCTGCCCTGTCGGGTGTATGAGAAAGAGGGTAATTTTGGTTTTATCACCTAAGTTGATAAAACTGACGATAACGATGTTTCGAGCGTTAGCCCTTAGTTCTGACGAAGTGCTTGTCCTGCTTATTCGACTGAGGCGCTTGTTTGACATTATGGCCTTGGTGGTGCGCTTATTTGAGAAAATACGGTATCCAAGTAGGGCCCGATTCCTGTTTACCATAACCTGACTTGAAAGGTTCTACCAATGTGCACGTGGACAGGAACGATTTTTTCAGCCGCCCTGGGGCGGTTCTAACTTAAGGGGCCCTAAGCCATGTTCTAAAATCAAAATTGAAAGGATAGGAAAGCAAGTTCTGGCACCCGCACCAGTCCTTTTTTGATAGTTTTATTGCATCATTTTCAAAACTTCTGAAATTCCCATCTTGAATGAAAACAGAACAGCTCTACGGGTCCGTTAAGTTACCGGAACTTTCGAGAAACGGGCCCCTGGACGGGAGATGACAAAACGCGGGGCCCTACTCTATGGAGTACCCTATGGAGTACCTGAATGGAGTACCCCTAAAAATTATGTATTAGTCAAATAAAATACTTTATGAACATGGTGAATCGTTTAGATGTACATATCCTGATATATTTTGAGCTTGTCAGCTCTCCGATTGTCGCAGTTCGATGTAGTACACGAATTGACCGCCATCTTGAAATTAACATTGAACTGCTGACCACTTCCAAGGGAAAGCTTTAATGTAGCTAGCATCCACGAACGTTATCGTTAATAGTCCGACTTCTATCTATTTTCATATGATCTTCAAGAGGCCAAAAGGACGGACATCCTTCATTCTGCAACGGGTTTTACGTCTTTCAAAATACCCGTTTATGTGTGGCGTCTGTAAGAGGTGTAGCGCTCCATTTAATAACACAATGCAAGGCCTCACGGGTTTCTTAATTGTGCGAAGCCATGAGGATACAAGCGTACATTTGTAGGCTGAGACTGAAAAAAGACAATCCATATCTTTAAACTGAGCTTCTCCTCACCATCCATTTGTAACGTAGTAAAATTGAGGTATGTAAACAAACTTAAAAAAAAAAAAACAGTGACGGGTCGGCAAATAAATCCGACTGGGCCGTTGATTTCGGAAATGCAGTAAGCTTCAATATTTTACCTCGTGCAGAACTCGAAACAGTGGGTTTTGTTCATCACCTGGAGTTTTTCGTCTTCCCATCAAAGGACTCATTACACAGCGGTAAAACCAAAATGGAGGAACCAGTAAGACTGAGAGCCCTAGTCACCTGTCCTCCAGAAAACTGGATTGTATCGAACTGTGACATTCTGAGAGCCGGTAAGCTCAAAATATTTTAAACGATTTACCATGTTTATAAAATATTTTATTTGACCAATACATGACTTTTAGGGGTACTCCATTAAGGTACTCCATAGGGTACTCCATGGAGTAGGGCTCCGTGTTTTGTCACCTTCCTCCCTGGACCGGGTTGCTCAAATCTGGGTCAAGATAACCCAGCGGTTTGTGTAAAATTTGTCCTCAGAACTTCAAGCTTTCTTTTTGTCTTCAGTTTGATGACCGGGTTCTCTGAAAATAATAAGGGAAGTTATCCCAAAAAATATCTGAGTAGAAATATTAAGAAACCTGGATTAAAATTTAACTCTGGGTTAGCGCGCCAATCGACCCTCGAACAGTTCCTGCTGAAGTTCAAATCAATTTTGAGCCCAAAGTCGTTGAGGCTTCCGGGCAGCGGTGAAGAAACTTGTTACCAGTCTTTCATTTATATAAAGTATTTCAAGATGGCGGACGGAAACGCATGGGAACCCTTAGTTGAGAATCTGACAAAGTCCTTTTCGAATTTATCACCGCAGATTTTACCTGGAATGCATGACGCGAAAAAGGTAATGTTATCAATTCAAAATATGCCTTGAAGGGTGCCCTTATACCTTCATGTTTAAAATTAAGCTCGTAAATTCACAGTTTTGGTACGACTTATTTCAAAGGTCTTACAAGCTCTTCAGTCTGGTTTGAACGATTCTCGTCAAAGCCGGGCGGAATCTCAGGTATGATCTAATTTTTCAGTTTAACTATACAGTTCGTAATAAGATTCATAAAACTGTGTTAAATGTAACTTCCTAAAG